GAGGGCACGTACTGCATGGAGCACTGGGTGTTATATGCAAACAATGAATCATGGAACACTACATGAAAAACTAATGATGTAATGTATGGTGATTAACATAATAAAAAAAGATTAAATAAAATCTAAAACTTAGTTCTTCAATTGCCCTAGGCTCATTTCAAGGGCTCAATAGTGCCTACACTATTGGACTGTGCAGAGCAGAACACTTCTATGTCACAGAAAATTTCACTGAACAGTGCTGTCCCAGAGGATGTCATATAGGACAGAAAACAAAATAAGAATTGAGAGGCTCAGAAATACACAGAAGAAAATATCTATCTAGTAAGGGGGATAACAAACAACACAGTGTCTATGTGGTGACACAAAATGTGTTCAGCAATGTTAACAGAATGAATTGAGATTTTTAGCACAAGGATACAAATCTAATTCCATGGATATATCATCATTAACTTTCAGAATGTAACTGAAAATGAATATAATCTTTATTCAAAATTAATGGTTTTCACAGGAGGAGAAAATAAGCAACTCTATAGTAAAGAGATCTGTGCCTATAAGGAAATCTGCAAGCCTGACTGTGGTAATAAAAGTTAAATATACCTATAGAGAGTACAGAGTTGATAATCTGATGGGGTTTATGCTGCATGGCAAGAGGAAAAGAGATGTGGCAGAAGGCTAAAGAAGAAACATGCTGCTTCAATTTGATCACTGGCAAAAAATCTGCAATGGATTTTAAAAAGTATAATTATATAAAAAGCAAGTACGTCACTGTGATCAAACAAGTTTCACAAAAACCAAGTCACTTACTTTACTATCATTGTTACCAAATCCCTACAATGTTTACTACATGTCAAGCATTGCTTTAAGCATCTTGTAATTCTGTGGCAATCCGGGATAAGGATATGACTATTACTCTCATTTTACAGATGAGAAAACTGAAGACAGGAGGTTATATATGTTGGTCAAGGTCATACAACTAAGCGGCAGAATCTGTTTCAGTTTAGGCAGCACGGCTCCGGGGCGTGTGCTCTAAAACTATTCAGCTCATTTGCTTTTGAAACAGTCCAGGGATGATAAAAAATGCAATGTATATCTGGATTTCTGCAAAGCGGGATACAAAGTCTCTTCCAGTGTCCCTCAAGTAGGAAACAGAAATATAGCACAGGCAATACTACTATCCGCGAGCGCGTAACTGGGAGAATGGTACTCAATGGATTTCTCCCTCTCCCTCACCTATTAAGGTCTTTTCATCTTGACATTACTGACAGGTCTTTGTTATGAGAGCTATCCTGTACACTGTGGGATATTTAATCTCATCACTGGCTTCTACTCACTAGAGTCCAGTTGTCGGTCTCTCCCCTATCCTGTCTACCCTCAGTCCTGACAAATAAAAATGTCTCTAGATAATGCCAAGTTTTCCGTAGAAGGTAAAATTGCCTCCAGTTGAGAACCACTGA